AGGAAACAGTAATGTTATCCATAGTCATAGAAGAAGACTAATTGTTTTTTGAATTAACAAACCTCCAGAAAGTTTAATGATTTTGTTTAAGACCATTCCCAACATTGATAATGTACTGGTTGTACAGAAATTTATTTAAAAATTCAAACTCCCGCTTGTGTCGTTCCCAGTCAAAAAAAATTTCGAGTTGCCATATACCGTTTGTAAAACTTATTATCAAGGTTTTTGTATTTGTTTAGACCACTTGTGTACAATGGCAGCCTATAAGGACTCCATAGCTTCAGAGGACAATTCCTTTTGAGAATAGAAATAACATTAAGAAATTTTAAATAGTAATCATCAACACTAGCATGCGAAAAAACTGAAGACCAATTAACAGTTATTATATCATTATGAACAGCGAGTAGATTATTTTCATCAAATGTGTAAAATGGAACTTGAGGTAATTCGTGCTCAAAAGTCTAAAATTGTTAACAATTACAATAAATGAACATCGCGTATCGAAATAGGACATTCGGATGGGCTATAGATTAATTGATTTCTGAATTAACAAAAACTAGATCTAATTATCTATTTAAACAGTTAAAGATTGTATTTATCTGGGTTAAGCCCAACAATTAATAGGATCTCATGTGGTAAGTGAACGTTGCTGAGAATTAAATTAGAAGAGTGGGGATCCTGCACCCACACCTAGGTTAAAGTCACCCAATAGGCAGATATGGTCGGTATCCAGTAGCCCTTGATCAACGCAAGAAATGTTAACCAAATGTGCCTCATAGAGGCTGTAGTCGCTGTTAGGTGGTATGTATGATGCAATAAATAAATAAAATAAATAAATTGGGATTGAGCGCAACGTTCTCTTCCAAAAATTATTTGCAACTCAACTTTTTTGCCGAATGTTCGTAGACATAAGGGTAATACAAAATAATAAATCAAAGTCTGACAGCACGGTCGAACATCCAGAAAGGCGGCTGAGCAGTATTTGTGATCTGGATAGAAGACTAATCGGCCTATAGGATTCCGGGAAGCACGGGTGACCTAAGTGAAGACTAACTATACATAAACAGGATTGCCAAAAGAGAGTAAAAATCAGAGATCGTTGCTTGGACTTCTTGGCTTATTACAAACTTAAATGACGTAAAGCGATTCTCCAAATCATCGGCCAGGACTTCTTGGAGTATCTTTGGGCCTAAGTGCCAAAGTCTTTTTCGGTTTCGGGTGCATTTTCACAGCTCAAGTCCGTGATTTTGGCTGGGATCAATTCAGACTTCCTTCTTGCCATGTCGATGGTAAGCATTGTCCTCATCCAGACTCGGCGGATCGCATGCATTTTTCTGGCCAAGGCAGCAATTCCTGGCTCCGAAGCAGCGCAATATGGTGGAGGAATAGGAATACTTCCAGCAGGATGAGCAGCTTGGTGGATCTGTTAAACGAAGTCCTTAGCAAATAAACCAACATCGTTCACATTAACAAGGGAGGGATGTTCATGAGTCAATGCAGAAAGTCGGGAACCGAAACTTCATATATCCGAACCCCGAGGAAGAAGCCTGGTTCTGGTATCGACCGTATAGGCAGAGATATTTTAAAAGAGAGCGAATAGGTCTGAGGTAACGCCCGGACACTCTGAGATAATAAGATCCTGTGCATATCTGTAAAATAGATTTTGAGCTTTGATTAACTCTTTAAGAGACAAGTCTCTCTTAGTTTTCATTTTATTTGTTTTAATATTCCCAATAAATCTGAGCATCCAACCCATTGCTCGTTTTAGGCGCATATAATTTGAAAACCGGTCAAGGTCTATCGGTGTATCTATTACCATCGTCAGAACAGTCTTCCTTTATTCTTTAAAGTCGTCTGTTAATGGGATCTTTTACCACTCTTGTTCTTTTAAAAATGATGGGCCCAGAGTCCACACTGTAAGCGGGTCATATTCATTGCACTTTGAAGTTTGTATGGCTTTATCAGATGGGTTCAAGACAGTTAGGACCTATCGCCATTTATTTTCCCTTGTTATCTCCAGTATTTCCGATTTGCTTATATCGCCTGTGGTTAGAGCAAATCCAGGCGAGTACTGTCCTTGAATCTGATCAAAACACAAATCTTTCAATTGTAATATTATGACCATCAACAACATTGCTGCTTGCAGCTCTAGCCTTGGCACTGACAATAACTTCAGAGGATCACATTTAGTTTTGCCTGCTAAAAAGGAAGTTTTCAAATGGTCACCAGGTATGATACGCAAATGTGCTACTGCCGCAATTGCCTTTATTTACTAGCGACCTATATCAAAAGAATTTGATATAAAACCTATTAAATCAAAGTGTGCACATTACATAATTGCTTATCTCGTAGGGTAACACGTAGCTACGAGTATAAATAGTTGAATTTTATGCACCTCAATCGTGCCTATAAAATCCCTCCATAGAAATCTGATCATATATGACGCATCTTGCTACATTTGAATTTGATGCGCCGTTGATGAAAGAAGCAAAGCCATGTTGCCACTCTCCGTGTAAGGATGCCAGATTGAACATGCCGCCCGGTGCGGCAACTGCAAGTGATGGATTGTTTGTTGAAAGGGCTTCGCCATGATGCAACTTTCTGAGGCTGCCAGGTCATAGAAGCCGCCCTGCGCGACACCAGAATACGGCCAGTTAAAGAAGCAGCGTCATGATGCAGTCCACAATGTGAGGACACCAGGACATGGTTACCGCCCTGTGCGGTAAAAGCGGTGATTGTGTCTGAAGGGTGCAGCAATATGATCATCTTTTCGCTCGGATATAAATTTAATTTCACATCTCTTGGAATTCTGATAGTCAGATCGGTGGCGAGAGCAAATTGTAAATTTAATGAAAATGTTACAAGCCTGCCAAGCTACTTTGAAATACTTTAATAAAACACTTATCGGTTTAATGTAATGTCCGTTGGTCGGTCGTAGATATAAACGATTAAATTGTATTTCTGCTCACGTCCAATGACTTGGCGGAAATGACAAAAGTTTAGTATATTGTTTGGTGTTTCGCGTTGCTTATAATATGTTTAATCGGACCGTTCTTGATAAACATGAGCTGAAATTGGAATTCAGGGTTACAATAGTGCAACGCACTCGAAAAAATACGGTTGTTTTAAAATTATGTCCAGCAACACTTACTGATCAAATTGGGAGTAGAAAGGTTCATAGGCGGAACAGATTCGTTGTTTGCCCCTTTAAGCAGGTGCCAAGATCAAAAGGATTCTCAAAGTCTTAGGCACCTATTGTCATCAAAGAAGGTCGCCTTGGCAGTCCTAGAAGCTTGATTGACGACTTTTTTGAAATCAATATCAGCAGGTTACTGGTCGGATGATTTGATCTTAGCAAACTACAAATGCTTAGACGCATGGGGGTCCAAATGGTTTTTCCATCAGGAATTCGCAGAGATGGCATGAAATTGAAAGACATCTTAGCCGGATTTGTTGCCTGCATGCGACATTGAACGGGTAATAGAACTTAAAGGAATAGAATATATAAAAGTTTAGCGCACCAGCCGGCCTGCCAAAAGAAGAGGCAAGGCCGGCGAAAGTTATGTTAAAGTGTTCAGAAACACAATGGGAAACAAAATTTTTATTTTTCGTGTATAAATAAGGTCGTGCGGTTTTTTTTTACGAAATTAAGAGATTTATTTTAAAAAATTTGTTACACTTTTACGCTTTAAAGAATTGTCTATCGCTAGTCACCTTATTTTGCCATCTTTCTGGCAAATCACGGATTCCGCGTCAAAAGAAGTATGGTCTTTTTTTTAATATCCATTATTTGGAAAAGTGCTGGTGTGCAGAACAGATTTGATCGAAAGAAGCAATGTCTCGGCTAAACAGCGGGTTGGGAAGGACTTCCCATCGAAGTGTTTCCAAGTACCTTTGAACGATCCGGCGTTTGAGACGTCGCTTCAGTTCATATGGCACCAAATTTCCTACTTTTCGGATTATTCGTTTGGCACCCAATTGCCTACTTTTCTGATCATTCCCATTGTTTTTAAGGGATTGAAAATGGAAGGTTGAGTGACTCCAAGCGAATCTGGAAGTTCCTTTTGCGTTTCTGATGAGGTTTAATTGAGCAATGTCCCCAATTCCTCATCTTCAAATTTTGGTGGAGCTCCGGGTCGTTCTTCGTGGTCTAAATTGAAATTGCTACTTTTGTACCGTGCAAACAACTTTTCACTCGTTCGTTCAGCTAGAGCATGCTCACCATAAACCTCAGCTAAAATACGAAAGCTTTCGGCAGCCTTTTTTCTCTTAATGTAGAAACAATGTTGCTTAATTTTTAGTGAAATCGCAGTTACTGAAAAATGTCAGTGTTGCCAGATCAAATACCGGCCTATTAAACAAATAGCGTCGTCTGTAAACGAAACCGCACGAATTTACTTATACGACTAATCAACATCAACCGGTTAGCTTAACACAATTGGTTAACTTAATACAAAAGTCAAACCTGTGAAAAAAATGTTCTGAAAATTGTTTTACTGTGACGGCTTGAAATCAAAATAGCTATTTCACCAATATATTTGTGTTTTAGAGCATTGGTGTTGGTGTTTGCTAAGCCATTAACAGTGTTTAGGCACCCCTATTTTAAATTGTATTAGAGAAACCGACGATTCTTATTCCGATAGTGAATGATGATCTCTGGCTTGAAATAAGCAAACCATTGTTAAAAACTGTTAAATTAACATTAAAAATTAAAACTCTACTATATTTATCGAAAAAAAATATGTGGAATTATAGAAGCCTTTCCCAACACGTAGGCATGTAATCTTTCTTTGAAACTGAGAGCTTTGTCTCAAAGTTGTTTGACAATGGGTGAGTGTGTAAATATCTAATTTTGATTGATATAAATATTGTGCTCCCTTCCATTAATCCGTTAAATTGCCACAAAAAAGGAAAAAAATACACGAACTTAGATTGTAAAATTTTATTTGATAAAAGTATTGCCATAACCAAACATTTACAATATCTTATTTTCGTTTTAGAAGAAATTTTAAAATCGCCGGAAGCAATTTGGTCGTCTTCAGATGGCACACATTTCTTGTTCGCCTTATTTAACGATACGAATGTTGGAATGATGTCATATCCCTGGTTGTCGTCTGGAGCTTTATTTACTGGAAGTGGCATCTCTCCTGGAAATTTTTTTCCAGAAACCAAAAATGTTAGATATCCAACTCCAGGCACTGCCAACCCAGAAGTACAGCTGTGGGCAGTTGACATAACTAATTTAAGCGCTATCCAAAAATTTCAAATTAAACCTCCCGCTTCTCTTGATGGACAGTAAGAAATATCTTTTATATGAGCTTGACATGTTAATATGCATGAAAATTTCGTTCATTTATATATATTAGAGACTATTACCTCACATCAGCAGGTTGGATATCTGACAACAATCGCCAAATATCGGTTGCTTATATGGGAAGATCTCAAAATTACAGCGTGATATCAATGTGTTCTAAACTTCGAAATTGGAATTGCTTTGAAGTAAGTCATACTTTCTTGATATCTAATTATTAAAAAAAAATTATTTTATTCAGATACATTCTGAACGTGCTCCAGAAAATGAATGGTTAGATATTTTTCCTCACCCTGTCTTTTCGTCGGATGGCAGCAGTTTTTTATTACTATCAAGTATTCAGGAGTCCGGACAATATCAGTTCACACATATAAAACATATAACCACATCAGAGCGAAGAGCTTCTGTTATTTCTCATGGTCGATATGAAGTAAGTAATATTAAAGACACATTGCAAAATTAATTAATTACTTGATTTTTTTTATAAAAATAAGCAAAGCCACCAAATAACATAATGTTATTTAGTATTTTGTGCAATCTAGTATTAATAATCTCTGTTTAGCTTAAAGGTATATTGTAAATAACAAGAAAAGGGCACACGAAATCAATCGAAGTGAAAAAGAGGAGTTTTCTCTCTCAATAAATTAAAAAGCTAAAGAAAATAAAAATTATAACTACGAAGATTATAAATCAGGTGTGGGGTTTGCCCAAAAGTTACGCAATGTTACCATACTGCGAGATAATTAAGTTTTTCATAGAAAAGCTGCTGGAGCTCTTTGTTGAGAGGGGCGTCATGTTTGAGGCTGTTGCCACAATTTACGAACTCCGTTCTGAGTTAAAGCGTGCAATGCTCCGAGGATGCAGCGATCCACAGTCCAGGTGAGGACCAGCCGCATGTTGACGCTGATGGAAGACAGCGAGAAATTGCAAATGGCCGAAATTGCAATTTCCTTCTGGAAGAACATGTTGATGCAAGAACCGATTGAGCAAAACATACGCTCAATCAGTCAGGTTGTTGAACTGTACATTGCCCGAAAGGAGCTGGCTGAACATAAATTAGTTGCCGCTGAATTGAAAGACATGACTGCACCGAAGGCACCCGTACCTCAAATTGATCTGAACGACATGGAGGCTATGATCCCTGAATTTTCTGAAGGCGACAACTTGTCGGTGCAAGTATGGAACCGTGAATTTAAAAAATACGCCTTAGTTAATAAGCTAAACATTATGCAATGTCTGTCGTTTTTTCCGAGGATCAGCTAAACAATATATGCTGTATGAAAAGGTGTCCTCCTGGCCATAGATGAGCACGATGCTCACAGAGGTTTTTGGAAGCCAAATGTCTAATCTGGAGATTGCTAAGCAACTACAGAAACGTACAATTAGGAAAGCCGAGACCTTGGTGCAGTATTTCGTCACGATGCGCAATATTGCCCAGCAAGGAAACTTTGACGAAGTGGACGGCTTCAAGGATATTATCGATGGACTAGAGGATCACAGCGGATGCGTCGCTGTGCTCTGCTATTGTACCACGTTGAATAAGTTACGTCAAAAGCTTATTGTTTACCTTATATGTTAATGACCTTCCCGATGCGTTATCTTAATGTGCACTTGTATGCTGATGATGTCCAATTGTTTGTGAGTCGTCCTTTCAACAGAATAAATGAATGTATAGATGTTTGTAACAGAGAACTTGAACGTGTAAATGAGTGGGCCGGCAACAATGGACTTGGGATCAACCCATCAAAATCAAAATGTCTTGTCATAAGTAAAAGAAAGATAATTTTTAACAATTTGCAGCCACTGAGTATGAATAGCACGCCACTTGAGTACGTTGATACAGCTGTAAACTTAGGTTTTACATTCAACAGAACTCTTACCTGGAATGATCATATTAAAAAGTCTGTCCGTAACTAAAAATTGCCTGCCTAATAGCTAAAACCTGCATTGTTCCAGCGCTATTTTATGGAGTAGAAGTTTTTTCAAACTGTGACACTACCAGTAAGAACAAAATTAAAGTTATATTTAATTGCATAGCCAGGTATATATTCAACTAACCACATACAGATCACGTATCCGAATTTTCGATGAAAATATTCGATATCTCGCTAAATGAATGGATAAAGATGCGAAACTTAATTTTTCTGCAAAAAATTATTTTCCAAAAAGAACATTTGTATCTTTTCGAAAAACTTCAATTTACATCCTCTAGAAGAGCAAACAATCTTACTTGCATAAGACCTAGATCATTGACATCCGAAAGACAATTTTTAATTAATGCTATTCGATCATGGAATCAGCTTCCAAACCATCTTAAAAATATTAGCGGTGCCACGAAATTCAAGATAAAATTATTCACACACCTTAAAAACACTATTACGTAAATTAAAGTAAAAATAGAAGGCGACTTAGGTTAGTTTTTATGAAAATTAGTTTTAAGTATAATGTAACAATTAAATATTTGCAAACTCGTAGTGACTAGCGCATTAACTTATAAGTTCCAAACTTGTAGCGTTAGGATGAAATTTTATAATAAATACAAATACAAATACAACTGTCGATAATGCGATTCTAGAATTTGCAGCCTACACTCGAGGACTGGAATTTCTTCATTAGCTCCATTAACTATGACTTTGCCATGTATGTTTTCTATATGGCGTTCGATGGTGTTTCTTTGCGATCTAGGATGTGTTAGTTTTGCCTCGCCGACAGCTAAATTAGGATCTTCTTCTTTCCCCATGCCTAATATTGCCGTAACCGACGCAGAATGTGTGTATTATAATGATAAGCTTGGTAACGCCGAGTATACAGGATTTTCTTTAATATAATCGAGAATGTTTACTTGCGATTTGATGTTTACAAATGCGTATGCGTGAGATGATGTGTGTGATATTGAATTCCACGTGTGGCCTTTGTCATTGGGGTGAAATACTGATATTTACTCCACAAGCTACAGGGTCAATGATAAATATATAGATGATTTGCCATGATTGCGTTCCTCAGCTGGCGCAGCCGTTGATGCTCTCCTGTTCTCGAATGTTCTCGGCCACGTTGGATTTGAGGTTAGGATGAGCCCTCTATATGTTTCCGTGATGATGTCTATGAATGTACCACCTTTGATATGGTGCGAGTACTCCACTCGTGCTAGAAGATTGTTTAGCTTCTCCGCTTGTGGCCAACTGGTTTGACCAAAGTTCCCACGCTGGGTTTCAGGTTAGGGTGAGCACAGTGTTTGTGTCCGTGTTTATGTCCATGAATGTACCACCTTTGTGTTGGTGCGAGTACTCCACTCGAGCTGAAAGCTTACTTAGCTTATTCACATACAACTGCCACCATAACCTGAACGTAATTAATAATCAGAGACTCATGCAAACAAATGACGCTCGAATGACGAAAATGAACGAATACTTCTCCTAGTCCTGTCACGGTCGCCTTTAATGTAGCACCTAACTGGCTACTTTCCGTCAACCATGAGCGGTTGATAATGCTCTGAGTCTCGTGTTGTGTTCTGATGCGTTTTTTCTCAATACATGTGTTTTATTAATCTTCAAGTTGTAAAAATTGTCTTGTTTGCGTAATCGACAAAAGCAAAGTGAGCTGCGCTTCCGCGCTTACATAAAATATCGCTTAAGTTTACAGAATGTTATGCGTGACGCAGTGTTGTTAAAATGTTAAATGCAACCGTGTGTGGTTGCTACATAATTTCAGTTACGTTAAATTCAAATTCAAAACTTATAATTATAACAATAGATCTCCTCCGACATCCTTAATAAAGAATATGTACCACCGGATGTAATCATATGTTGTCCGAAGACTATGTAGTTCCCAAACTAGCATGAACGGACGATCTCAACGCGCAACATATTCTGTTGAGATACTCGTCCCAGTCCTTTTGCTCAGGTCGAAGATAAGCTCTAATTGCAGAAATTACAGAGCGGCTAACGCGCTCGGACGCATTAGCCCGAGACGAATGGACGGCCGTCAGCGTATGCGTAATTTCTGAAAAGCGTGAGAGCGAAATTGTGAGCCGATATTTCCACTTTTAGATCTGGGATAAGGTTCAAGGAAATCATAAACAACCGTTGGCGGTCGCAATACACAGTTCGGAGCTTTAGTGGTTTTGCACACTTCGCAGGCATTTATATAAGCCTTTACATCTGTAACAAGGCCAGGCCAAAAATAGCCTTACTGTCTCAATCGTTTTGTGTATGCCGCCGTGAGATGATAAAGGACTATCGTGAGCTCGCGAGAGGATTACTGGAACCAGTTCTTTAGGTATCCAGAGCTTCCAGGCATACTCATCATGGACGTGCTCTCCCGTTAACTGTTCGGCTTTCCGATAAACATAACCACTGTCAGACTTAAGATCAGAAAAATTTTCTTGGTTTGCTTTCACCTTTTCTACAAGAGAAACATACTCAGCTGATTGGAAATACTGTGAGTTCATGTCCACTCGCGTAAGTCTATAGCGGCTACCACGTCTTCGTTAACACAGGAAAGTGAGTCGGGAACAATATTTAGAGAACCCTTTCGATGATCAAATGTAAATTCATATTGATTGAATTTAGGTCATGATTGGACATTAGCCACTTCAATGAAGCATGATCGGTTACGATTTTAAATTGATGTCCCTCCACATACGCACTAAAATTCTTGAGAGCTGCTACCGCCGCTAGACATTCTTGCTCGGTAACAATATAAGTCCGTTGAGCTTTGTTCAGCTTCTTTGAAATGAAGGCAATAGGCCGTTCGTCTCATTCTTTAGACACCCGTACTAGTACTGCGCCTATCCCTGATTTACTAGCGTCACAATGTATCGCAAAAGGCTTTGCAAAGTCGGGCCTGCATAAGACTGGAGCCTTGGTGAGTGAAAGTTTTAAGACTTGGAAAGCTTTAATGGCTTCGTCGGTTAAACTAAACCTTCGTTTTGTGGTCATTAACACACAGAGCTCAGAGTGAAGCGAAATTGGCAACAAAATAACGATACCACCCACACAAAACTGCGTAACGTCTTTGGTAACGGAAAATTAGTAATTGCGGCCACCTTTTCTGGGTCGGTGCGTATTCCACCATCGCCGATTATATGTCCTAGATATTGCACACGAAGCATGCAGAAGTGACTTTTGCCAATGTTTATCGTCAAGCCTGCACGCTTTATCTGAGGAGCGATCCCTCTGAGAATTTCAAGATGCTTTTCAAAACTGGAAGAAACTATCAATAAATCGTCAAGCTAAATGAACACATCGTTTCTGAGATGATCTGGCACAACCTTGTCCATTAAACGGGACATTGTACTTGTGGCATTGCACAGCCCAAAAAGCATAACCTTAAACTGGTAGAGCGGTCTACTGGGACAGTGAAAGCCGTTTTGTCTCGTGATGAAACCTCTAAAGGAACCTGCCAATAGGCATCCTTAAGGTCAAGACTGGA